ATGGGGAGGAGGGAAGGGGTGTGGGGGCGGGTGGCAGATCAAGGCCCCTGAGGTGAGAGAGAAACTGGGCCTGGGGCAGGTGCTGCCCAGTTGGGGTGGGGCATGGAATGGAGCTGTGAGCAGCTCGCCCGGGGGGCAGATGGAGGGGAGGCACCTCCTGCTACTGCGCACACCCCCAGGGAGGCATGGGGAACACATGCCCCCAGATCTGTGCGCATGGCGAGGGCAGGCTGCCGCTGCAGGCTGGGGCCGGCACTGGGCTCTTCCTGGCGGGTGGGGGTTAGGCCAGGGCTGCCCGCCCCTCACCCTACGCACAGATCCAGGGGGACACATGCCCCCCATGCCTTCCCCAGGGGTGTATGCAGCAGTAGGAGCCACCCTCTAAACACCGTGCCTCCCAGACAAGACACTCACAGCTCTGCCCTACATCCTGCCCCAGCTGGGCAGTGCCAGTGCCTGTTCCTGTCCCTGCCCCTGGCCCAGCCCCACTCCCTCCCTCACCACAGAGGCCTCAAGAAGCTGCTGGGCTGGCTACATGCATGCTACACCTGCATGCATGCATGCATGCATACATACATACATACATGTGGCATTTATCGGCAACATTAATCGGCTACATCAGCCAAAAAAAGCTAATTGCCAGTAATATAAATTTTCCTTTTATCAGTGCCGATACAATATGGACCAACGTATCAGTGCACTACTAGTCCACAGCAACACCCTGGCTGTACAGCGTCAGCACTGCAAGTCCTCTGCTCTTCAGGGCCTCAGTATTCAAGTGTCTGTTCAGGCACCTCTGGGTAAGCTTTTCTACTCAGAAAGCAACCCAGGAAAAAAAACTCTTCCAGATCATTTAAACATCTGCAACAGACTTCCCCTCCTCCATAAACTGCTATGGACATGTGACCTGGTCCTAATTAAAATGAGAAGTGTAAGGTTAAGGAGGTAAAGGTTTTGAACACTACAGATGAGTCTTTATTATGATTAGAGAAAAATTAGTCTGAATAAACTCACATTAACAAAACACAAGATAATATTCTAGAGACAGATAGTCTGTAGCTTTCAAACATATCTGCAATTCAAAGTAAACCCTAAGCTCCACCAGAACCTCTAGCCTGATCAATTAACTCATGCAGCCTAAATGACAGAAATTTGGTCAGTCTTGTGTACTGAAAGCGTACAAATGTATGCATGAATACTACAATGAGTGGAAATCTCTTTCCCACCAAGCCTGATTTGCCTGGCTTCTTCCTGCTTGTAACAGTGTATGTTTCTGCAAGTGAACTGCAGGAGGTTTTCCAACTGAGGAAGCCATTTAGAGTAGGAGTAGTAACTGGGCTTAAAGGGAGGTGGGTGGAGGCAAGGGGATAGAGGGAAAGAAGAGACAGCTTCATTACCAAGTTGCTTCCCTTTCTATTCTGTTTAGTGTCTCCCTCTCCCTCAAACTAAATGGTATTTAGCAATGAAATCTGTTCTACTATAGCATATCAAGGCAAAACAAAAGCTAATACATGCCCATTATTCAAGCCATTTACTAAAAGTATATTTTCATTTCATGTTATCCTTCTTATTCTTGCAGGATTCACACAAACCCCAATTTTATTTAAAAAAATATTTTCAAACTCTGGACTGTTCTCTCGCTCATACTGAAATTACCTATAAACAACTAACTTTTGAAGAGTGGTCTGTTTGTAACTAAGTGATTTAGCATTCTGAAAAAACTAAACCAACATAGAGATGCTTTAACATGTATATCTCAAAAGAAAGTAACTACATGCAAGATTTTTAAAAAACTGAGTTGTAAAATTGACAGTTATGAATCTGAATGCATATTTCATGCCCAATGACCTGCTATTTTGCAAGCTTGCCTGGGAAAATAATGTGCACTGCAAATAACTGCATATATAAATGATAATCTAAAATGACAGCCCCTGTAGTAGTGCTGTTAACGCAAACCTTGGGTGTGTAGTCAGGCAGAAGGTTTTCACTTCAGAAGTTCTGTATCACAAATCAATTTGAGGGTAAAGGATGCAATTATCCATGTTAGTAAGCCACAGTAAAAAGGCTTAGCTTGAACAGTAAGCTTTTAGAGGAATTCAGATCATCCCATGACTGTAAAAAAAATGTTCCTGTAGATATGAGTATTTTTGAGCATAAAAAGTGTTAAATTTGACATTTACATTGAAGCTAGATGCCCAATCTAAACTCTGAACTCAGAATTAAGAAGGAACAGCTATTATGAATTTACCAGAGCATACTAAAAATAGCCGTCAAAGTATGCAATTTTGTATGTTGTAATATTTAGGTACAGGACCTAAACAGTCATAAGGAAATTACTAGCACATGACCAATTCAGATGAGAAGTCTTTTGGCAGATGTAAAAAAGCACTATGATAGAGGGGACAGTGCAAGAGATGGAGGGAGAATTTGCATCAGCTCTGCACCTGGGTTCAGCCTTTGGACACTCCTATTCATCTTAGATAGTAGCTATTAGATTTGGAATTCTCCTCCCATTATGTATGGAAAGAAAGTAGAAACTCTCTTTTATTTCTCTTCCACTTGTCTCCAACAGTTCGCTCATTGCTTCTTCCTCTGCTTTGAATGCCTGTCTCTTCTGCGCTCTCCTTTCCTGTATCACAGACTGCTTTTACTGCATTTCCACTTCATTGTGAAAGTTTTATAATCCTAAAAATTTACTTTAGAGCTCCACCTGTTACAACTGAAGTTAATTTATAAAATGGTAAGTTTCAGTCTCAATCCAGTTTGCATTTTATTTATGTTCCTACACACAAACCTCTTCTGTCCAAGGAACTGGGGGGTGGGGGTGGAAAGGAGAGAAAATGCAAAGCCGCAAACCTTGAAACATAAGAAAAGAGCAGCAACACTCACTGTGTGTCTAATCATTTAAATGAAATGTTCATTAGTAAAACTAAAAATATCCCAAACTGTGGTTACAAAGAGCCAACTAGTCATAAGGTACCAATCTCTTTAATTAAAAAGGAAGCTAAAGTTAGATTAAGTGATTTCCTATTACCCCTTCTGCATGGGAACAATTGCTCTAGTTGCCTCTATAATTTCAGACAGGAGTAAAGC